GTTTAGGGAGTTTAGAGTCGGGGAAACAAGCAGTTTTGTTGAGGGAAAGAACCACGAATTACAAGAAATTTTAATTGGTGATCAGATCGGCTGATTGTTGATATGCATAAAAAGTAAGGGAAATTAATTCAACAATAAGCATAAATTTTCAGCGAAAACAGGAATTTGAAGAACTCCGATCTCTATACCGCGTTCGTAAAAAAATTGTCTTGTGCACGAAACCACCAACAGTAGGCTAGGAATTTTGGTACTTTCCTGTTATCTCAGTACCTACTTTCTGTGCACCTACCAGAAACTGTGAATTTCATTTTTCCGCATTCTGCTGAAACTGATTTTGGGAGGCGGTTAGGTAAAGTTAGGTAAGGTCAGGTTATGTTAGTTACAAATGTCTTTCAATAAACATAACCTGACCTAACCTAACCTAACGAATACTGAATTCACAAGACAAAGAAAAATGGGTACTGCGATAACAGGAAAGTACCGGAATTTCTTTACACATTCCGGCATTGTGAAAGTTTAAAACAGAATTGCCCTAGCTCCTTTTTTCAAACCAATTTAATTTCAACTGCCACTGTCTCCCTAAAAATTTCAGATCAAGATAACACATTTTGTTCAAACTTTTCATCATATGCTTATGTTGAAGAAAATTTCCCGGAGATCAGCAAAAAACTTCTGCAGACCGGTGTCAATCTGCATGTGGACCAAGGGTTGCAGACCACTGCTCTAAATTATGAAGTTGTCAAAAATTACGTAGATTGAAGACGTTGCTGATGGGGTTTCACACAATAAGATCCTGCATCTAATTATTATTTTTGTTATTTGTGGGCTTCGTTAGTTGATGTGGGAGAGATTCGGAAGCACTCACAACATGCACGCTCATGTGAGACGGGTTCATGGAGCCCGACGAGACCGGGTTCAGGTAGTCCATGTTGGAGTAGTAGGACGCTGAAGCGTAATTTTGGCCGTTGTACGGGTGGGCGGCGGGCTGGTGGGCCGCCACGCCGGGGTAGGAGCCGAGATCCGTGACCGACCCCAGGGGCGGCGAGTACCACAAGTTGGAGCAGTGGGACGCCGGGGCGGCGGCAGTTGACGGCAGCGAGGAATTCGTCACGACGCCGGAGCACGACGGCGACAACGAGGGCCCGGGCTTGTACGGCGGAGATCTGACTGGCACACTGCCGCCCACGGCGGCCGTCGGCGACGGTGACGTGGGCTCTGACGCTGTCGACACCGGGGTAGGGGATTTGGCCTTGCGCTGCGTGCGCGACGACGGCGTCGCCGTTTGGCCCGTGTGCTTGTCGCCGCCGACGTTGCCGCCGTTCTGCTGCTGGTGCTGGTGCTGGTGCTGCTTCTGCTGCTGGCGGCACTTGGCCCGGCGGTTTTTAAACCACACCTAAAAAGGCCAAATGAAAAGAGGGTTTTATTCCAAGGCTTTCAAAAAATAAAATAATCTGAGGAGATCTTTTTGACCCTACGAGCATTAAAAAAAAATAAAATATTTATTCTTTCGCGAAGCTCTGTTGAAATTGAATTGGTCTGTGACGGAGCCCATTAGACCTATCAAAAATCACAGCACACATTTTTGGGCAAAAAATGCGTCAAAATTCCGCAAATCGCTTCCAGATATCTTAAATTATGGGCATGGTATGTATTATTTTTTCCAGTTTTTCAGAAAGGTAATTCCAGGAAGATTAAAAAAACCAATCCTAAACCTTCCCTTTTCATCAAAACTCTGCCAAAGCATCCGCCACTGCCCTGAGAATCATTCGTAGATCTCCCTTCTTCATCTCAAACTGAATTCGATATTTTTGCCGTTTTTATGAAGTACTCAAAAAAGGAAAAACTTGAATTGCTGTTTGTGAAAAGGTCCGCAAGATTCAAAGAAAATTGCAAGAGTGATGCTAGGCAACAACTTTCTAAGGATTATAAACGCTAATGCATTGAGGATTCCGCAACGTTAACGGCAAAAATTTGGACTACAGATTTTAGTTGTATGCTGTAAATTAATCCTGAAATACTGCGTCTTAATCTCAAAATATTAAAATTGCTGCGAATATTGTATGCATAAAGGGGTTGGACCAAGGGAAGGCCATTGATTTGGCAGTGTTGTCAAACTTGGTCAAATAATCATCACATGGAACGATCCCTTGAAAATCTTGAAAGTTATGCAAAAAATGCTGAAAATTTATGATAAATGGAAGGACTTCTTGACCATTGGACATACAAATTGCGGTGCATTAGCAACTATCCGACAGTAAATTACTCCAGATTTTCTGAGCTCAGGGATTAACTTTTCAAAGTCTGGTAAATTGGTAAAAGGAGAAGACGAAACACGCCAAAAATTGACTCCTGAACACAAGCAATTGAATGTACAGTGAGATCCCGAGATGCGGACATAATTGGGGCATCACAAGTGTCCCTAAGTTGAATTGTCACTAAGTTGAGTCTTGTTTTCCCATAGACTTACATTATATAATTTTTAATTCGTGTTTCATGGGAGAAATATTCTTCAGAATTCCCTGAAAAGAATTGTTTGCCACTTGAATTTGAATTAGTGAATACATTTAAATGGTGCATCTCTGTACTGTACATTGAAATGTTGACATCTACAAAAATAGCATTCAAGTGAAAAAAGTAAAAGTCCCTCTATGCTGGATGTAATTTTTTAAAATTAGCTAAATGGATGGTAAATTGGTGAGAGAAATGCTCAAAAACTATTTTACATCAATTTTAGGGTTGGAAATATCTGTTCCTTGTAATTTGTCCTGAAATGAATTTGAAATTTTATCACAAAATGTCCATATGTCGAGTCAGTGTCCTCATGTCGGGCCTTTTTAATGAATTTTTTCTGCGAAAATAAGTGTCCCTATGTCCAATTGTCCGCAGGTCGAGGTGTCCGCATGTGGGGGTCTCACTGTAAATTGCATTTTGTGTGGACTTTTTGATAGCAGTACAGCACAAGGCAATGCGTTCTTTATTGGGAGTACAAGTCATATAGGTAATATTCAAAAACCCCCATGCCTTGATGATGAATAAAAATAAAAAAACGGAACCCCCCCCCGTTTTCTTTCACAATTGACTCCCATATTCCGAACACAGGAAATCGAGAGATGAAAGCGCGTTCGTCGATCAAGCTCCGCGGGTTTCAACATTCCAGGTTTATTCGGATGGGTCGAAGCCGCCAAAAAAATAAAAAGAAAGGTGGCAGGAAGATCGGGAGAAAAAAGGGCATTGCCCCAGTGCCCATCGCCGGTCACTCCCATGAGAACCCATCGAATGTCAATTAGAAGGCAAGACGAATGGCTGCCGTTGACGACGACGCGGCCCCGTTGTCCACGGTCGGGCAAATCGTGAGATTCGGCTTTTCCTCGGCATTAGCTCCGGGTTTTTCTACAGGAAAACTCCGGCCCCCGATTCTTGCTTCCTTTTCTATTTCCTCACGTTTCGGCGTTATTTTATTTTATCTCGTTTTTTTGTGTGTGTCCCAGAGTTGCTTTTGCGGTGTTCTCCGGCTCTTGTCGAGTCATGCATGACTGGCTTTTTTTTTATTCTACCCCGTTCGATGATTTGTTATCGGATCCGGTCACCCGACTTTCAAAAATCCTGACCTGTTCCAATTCGTGCACAAAGCAACCGAATACGGCTCAGATCCAGTTTTGAAATGGTTCCTTTTCTTCTGGCCAAGCCACTCAAATTTCAGACTTGTAAAAATATCACAGGCATGTCCTAAATAAATAGATAATTTCTGCAGTTGATTTATTCGATTACCTTGGACTTCAGAGTTCACGAGGTGACAAAAACGCCCTCTGTGTCGTGGGGAATGTTTTGATGAAAAAGGAACGCCTCAAGATTGATGCTTGGATAAAAAAAAAAGTCCCTAAAAAAACAGGAAATGTGCCTATGTGCCTAAAGACATGTCTGTCATTTTCATACTTCTCCACGTTGAAAAACCACGAACACCGTTATTGCTTGGTCAAAACGAAACTGATTTGATAGATGCTTCTATTTTTTCAAAAATCTATGCTCGGGAGATTTGGTGTGAGAATTCCGAAAGATTTGCAAGTATTTTATAGTGCAATCTTGAGAGGGTGTCGGTCTTTCGCACGCGAAGTGCAAAATATTTCGATGAAATCAAAGTGATAGAATTGAACAATAATTTTATGTGGAGTCTCGAAAGGGCTCGAAATAAATTGAGCAGACTATTTTCCAGTGATGCTCTCGAAAATTATCACTGGTTCGGAATGAGGATCAAAGATTCAGATGTGTCATTAATAGCTGAAGAAGCTCGTGCAAAAATGGATTCGTGGACCAAAAGGGATGAGAATTGGCATGTATAGAGGAACATATTTTAAAGAATTACGAAAAAAATACAGTATTAGAAGGAAAAGGAAATTTTTTAACCTGGTTGGGGTAAATTTTCTTCGAACCTTGCGCTTAGATCAGCGAACAACCCTTGAAACCTTCAATGTCATCCAAAATTATCCTACAGCAAACGTCTGGACACCTTGTAGCTCAGAAATCCTGAGATACACATTCTAGAAATTATTCTTTCGTTTAATTTGTGGAATTGTATCGGTATTAACCATGACGACGTGCTTCACCTTTTTCTCTCTCATTCGCTGGCTCCAAAACCGTCATTTTTTTTATTTTCCAGATGAAAGCTCAGTCTCAGAGACAACAGTTTTTTCTATAATTTCGAAGGACACGGATAATGAGAAGTGAGTCCCATTTGAAATGCCTGATGCAGCAATATAGAACAAATACAGCCGCTTCCCGGGACCCTTTTCGGAATGCGCCTCTGATGCCCCGCACTCGACCCGAGAACCCAAGAAACCCGTACCGGACCCGATGGTCCAGTTGCCAGGGAATTTATCGCCGACAGCCGTCGTTTCAACCAAACCATCCCGGCGTCAAAATCAGACGATGATCCCGCATCCTAATATGGGATTAGGACGATCGGTCGCCCAGCCCTGCATTCCCCACCCAGACACATTCTTCACCTAGGCGTTGAAAGCACTCCCATATCCCGCGGGTTCCCTTACGCCGTGTCCGGTCCGTTTCTTTTCTCCTGGGCTTTCGCGTAAATTAAACGGGCGCTGGTGTCGCATATACCCGCCGGAGTCGCCCCACTATATAGAGGCACGTAAATTTTCCCTCAAGAGAAAGAACAGGTTTCTGAGGGTCCTTTCGTGTTGTTGTTGCTGTTGCTGCTTAACTTTGACTATTTGGAACCAACTTCCAATGGAAAAAAAATAAACTAAGAAACAACATGAAATGCTAAAAAATCAGGACTACTTCCAAGTGGAAACTGTCCCTCCGTCGTTTCTGCACGCTTCAACCCACATAAGAAGATTGGCGTAGGTAAAGTATAATCTCTTTAATTCACTCGAGCATATCCTGTAATTCTGGATTCTGTGGAATGTTTCGGATTTCTGTACAGGTGGTACCTTGCAATTCAACTGTTTAATTTGCTCAAAGGTTGATTCACAATTTGACCGCTTTCTGAAAATTTGACCTGTGTTAGCCTCTTTTCTAGAGTGTCTCACCATTCGGCCATTTTGAAACTTTATCATTGGTTGGCAATGGATTCAACTTGCAAGGTACCACCTGCACTTTAAAATAAAGTTCCGTTGCAATACCAGCATGGGTGGCTCATAAAGAAAATATCAGTACAGAAAAGTGTACCTTGAGGCATACAGAAAAATCTTCTCACGACAAATCCCATTGGAATAAATTTCCTAACATGATGAAAATTTTTAAAGTCCTGGAAGAAACCTCACAAAGTACACGTTGAAAAAATATTGTCATAACTAACTGCCCAATTCCAACATAACAACTTTTGAAGGAATGTTTAATATAATTTTCCAGGTTAAAATTTTCCTGAATAAGGCCGCAGGCAACGTCAGAAATTTCTGATCTCAAATATGAATGACCGGTTTTTGTTGCAATTAAAAAAATTAAACTCAATTTTAAAAATGCTCCCAAAGGGTTCCATGCACCATCCTCCCAAAATAAAGATATTGCTGCAACTGATGGAATGCATGATTGAAGCCATCTTTAAAGATCAATCAGTATTTAAAACATTAACAATTTCGAGAATGACATGCCAGAGAATCAATATCTAATTCAATTTAGAGAGATCTGATGTGGAAATGCTTTCCAGTCATTAATTTTGAAAATCTTGCTTTGAAAATGTATTCCATAGAACAGATTTTTCTGAAATCCCCAAAAGTTTGTTGCAACAAGATTTACGCAACTTTGTCTTGTGTTGTTTTGCCACTCTAATTTCAAAGCGTGAAAGTATATTTTTAAAGTTTGTGCAGACTGAACCACCACAAGGCCCTCCCATGTATTTTTTCGGTAACTTCAGTTGTAAAAAAAAAATTGGCGAGAACAGCTGTGACAGGAAAGCACTGAACCAAATTATCCGGCAATGCAACGTTAATTTTTAAAACGTTCTCCGGCTCTTAACAAACATTTATATGTAAATCAATGCTCAAGATCATTAATCGATTTTTAATAATTCATTCGCAGTTCGAGGTTGTTTTGATGAGATGGAACTAACCTGAACCCTGGATTCTGGAAGGTTTATCTTCAGAGCAACTTCCTCTCGCATGAAGATATCCGGGTAACGGGTTTTGATAAATAGCGCCTCCAGGATGTCTAGCTGGGCTCGGGTGAATGTCGTCCTTTCCCGTCTCTGCTTGCGCGGGTTCGCTGAAAAAAATGACATCCCTGCTGGGTTTCAGCAATGAGGGTACGACAGAGTTCCACGGCGAATATATCATAAAATAATTGTAAATGGCAGCACGTAGTTTGTTTGACAAAAGATGAGGCAAAATTCATGCAGCGTTCATCATTAAAAAAAATTGGACCCCAGAACAATTTGAATTTCAGTGAGGCTTTGAGCAAAACATGCCCTAAGCAACAAACATCGCACATATAACGAACCCAAGTATGGCCACCATTTTTCCTCAAGGTGGAAAATATACTGTATTGCGTAGAGTGAAAATATTCGAAAAAATTCCTAATTTTCAATGAATATTTTCAAAAATTAAAAACATGTAAATGTGTTTCACGTGAGAAATTAAAATATTGAATAAATAAGGAAATTTGAAGGGGAATCCAAATTTTTGGGGGAATTATAATTTGCGTCACTGGGCTTATAATTTTATATGCGTACCATCATTTTCAAGTAAAACGTTTGAGAAACTGATATTATCTTATCGTTCTTTTCTGTTTTTACACTTTTCTTGAAATCACCTTGTATGTTTTCTGCAGGAACCGTGTCTTAAACAAAAAGCACCTTGAGTAATGAACCAGCCCCTGGAATGTGTCGGGTAATCGGGTTCACTGCCGAAGAGCCACTGATGTGCATTTTGTAATTCTCATTTATTTTATTTAGTTAAGTACCACATGCACCCAAGTAAAACATCGACCTTGATTTCGCAGAGGAAAATTTGGGTATAAATTTGTAACTATTGTAAATTTGTAAATTTGTAACTTCAACATTAATATCCACGATTGGTACAAATTCAATTTTTTTGGGGTAAAATAAAACCAGGAAATAATACGAAAAAAGCCAATTTGAGAGAAATTAAATTGCATTTTTTAAACTTTAGAATGTTCTCTTAGCTTTTTAACATTTTTTGAAAATCGTTCCAGTGATTGAAGTCTCACGCGCACCAAATTCCGAAATTTCTGAAAAATTCGCACCCAGCAGTAAAAATCAACCTAATTTTTCTGGTAAAGATTTCCAGAAAAAAAAGCAAGAGTGGTACTTAAATAAATACTGTATATTCATAAGGACATCTGTTGTGAAACACAAAAACACTTTTGCTTATTGGAGAAAAATGTCTTCACGTAAAATCAAAGCAACGAATTATTCGATGCATTGCCGGAAAAGAGAACGCAGGTCTCAAGAATAGAGAATCTATTGAAAAAATTTGATGTTCGCGGGATTGAAAAGGAGATTATTTTTCTATTTTGTGGCGCGTCGTTGATTTCCACATATTCACAAAGGCGCATGCAAATTATTAAAATACGTGACACTGCCGAAGTTTCTATCAACTCCCACATGAAGACCTGATTTCTAGAACCATAAAAGACGGGTTGGAATAAAAGCCTGCCTTCGCTTGGGTGGGGGGATCCCAGATCGATCCTTCATTTCGGGAGACCGCGGTCGTTTGAGCGTGTTGCGACGTTTGCCTTCAGAAAAAAAAATCGGCTTTTTTGTTTGTTTCAAAAATAATTACTCAAACAACATTACCAGTTCGGCGAAAATAATGTCCAGTGGCATACACATCCTGGTTTGACGATATGAACAGCGGCGACGTGTTTCTAGCTATTATTTGCTTTCCTGTCTCACATGTCGCACACAAGTTTCCGAAGAAAATTCCGCTCGTTTGGGTCGATGATTCGATGGGATTCCTCACATGGGGAACACCGTGTGACTGAATCCAATCACGTATTGGAACAGGCCATGCCCAAACACTGGCTGCAGTCGTTGGACAATAATAAATTGAGAGTGTAAAAACGAACACCGCAAATTAAAAATAGCTCATTTCCACAAGTTATGAAAAGCTGAATGTGCGAAGCGACACCAGAAAGAAAAAGCCCCAGAAAAGTATCAAGTACATTATAAATTTGAATATTATTGGCTAGTGAGTAAATGCCCAGATTTAAAAAATGAAATATAGCTGGCGTCGGAAGATTACACGAAACGATTTAAAATTTTAAATGATTATGCTAAATTTCTCACAAGCTCTCAATTTTAGATGAATGCTTCTTCGATTGGAATGGAGGGAAATGAAATGACTTAATTCGAAATCAAACAGAAATTTCTGCTCACTGCGTGCAAATATTGTGCACCTTATTATAAACGTCTTGATCAGCGTTCCCCGAAATTTTTTGGGCCCACGGACCAGCAAATTTCCATAAATTTTTCTGGGACTGGCAAAGTTCCAAAACATTTTTGCAGACCAGCATACATTTTTTAAATACCTGCCGTAAAGTCCTCCACACAAATCTTTTATGGAAAAAGTTAATTCAAGACCCAATGAAGTAGCTATAGAGTGGAATGTCTTCAAAACTTAGAAAGCTGGGCTTCAAGGAAGGTTTCTCAAAATGAATACTTTAAATATTTAATTTCAGCAGGTGTTTGAAGCGTTATTCGGAGAAAAGCCCCTTTTTCTTTTTCATAAGATAATTTCCACTGCCATTGTCTCTCCAAAAGTTCAGACATGCATAACAAACTTCATTTATACCTTTGATCAATTTATTATGCTGAAAAAAATTTGCCAGATTTGAAAAAAACGTCTGCAGACTGGCACCAGACCACAGGCCGGAATTTTACTTAATTGTATTACGGACTGCAATTACTGAATCTTAAAACGTAATTTATAATGATAATATCCAAAAATAAATAAATCATGCAGAAAAGTTCTTGGTATACGACTATCCTGAGCTAACATAAGCAGACTTCTTCGCTCTCTCCTTCGTATTTTGGTAAGTGCTGGGTAAAAGTTTGGACACCTCATTTAGAAACACTATTAATTCTGCGGACGCAGAAGCAACTTATTTTCCAAGTTGACGTTTGTTATCAACTAAATTTTCTCTCTAAAAGCATATTCACCCCAACTTAAAGGAAATCTCCTTGTAACAGCCGCTGAATAGGCTCTGAAAACCTTGTGAGCGTCTTCGAGTGGGTCAGTCAGGGTCAACCACTGAAGTCGCTCTTCCAGGTCATCCATCGCGATATCCCATGTTATTTGCATTCCCAAAGATCGCCGCACTCTTTGCGGCTCTTCATCGGTTTCTACATCAAGACTGCAGTGACTGGGCTGACTGTAAACGGTTTTCAAATGCAATCAATTGACGCTTCCATTTCGAAAGTTTAAACATTTTCGGTATTTTTTGTGAAATAAACAGGGCCTTCGCAAGTATCGACTGACCCGTTTACGTCCGAACTCTCCGTATAAGTCGACTGCGTGCGCCACACCATAAAACTCGGACGAAGGGTGAAGTTCAGCTTTAACCCGTCCATCAGATTCGCAATTTCGCGAAAAAAAAATGGCAGTGAAATGACAGACGGTTCGGGAAGAGAGATAGGAAATAGAAAAGCCAGAAGAACAGTCGCCAATTCCACTGTGAAGCCCTGATTTTCGTTTGACCCCTCACATTCCGTGCTGCGTAGCTAAAGCACATGACCTTAACAAGGCCTTGATAAAGTCCTTAATAACGACTTTCAGAAGGACCCAACTTTTGGGAAGACGTTTCAGTGTTTGAGACTTGATGGCAATTAATTGCAAGTGATAGAAAAGCCGACGAAAGGAAGCAGAGCCCGAGTTTATTTCCGGATCCCACAAGACAAAAGAAAATACCGTAGCAGGACAATAATTGTCCTAAACTTGCACTTCCAAATTTATTCTAAAAAAAAATCTGACGAAGTGGATTTTTTTATTGTAAAGTTTGACCCTGGAAATTCCTGCACCAAGTCCATGGCGCAAGATAAAGGCAAAATAAAAATTCCCGCCACCCTGAAGAAATAATTTGTAAAATATATTTAAAGCCTTAGATGATCCACTCTGCAAAATCAAATTTAAAAAGCCGTCCAAAATAGAAATCGATGATTAAAAAAAATGACTCTTTGAGTCATTGTATTAGATAGAGAGAATACTTCATGACATTCAATGTAGGGCATTCTCTTCATATGAATTCGATCCAACACAAGCCACAAGTATACTTAGAGAACTCCCGTGAATATTTTTTTCTCCCGCAGAAGCAAATGAATTCCGAGTACAATGGAGTTTAATTCTTTCTAGACGGTTTATGTTTCAGAGAAGCCAAAAGAGTTTTTAATCCTCGGCGTCGGGTTTCAAATTATAGGTTCGGTGAAGCTTTTTCCACCATTTTCATCAGTACACAGATTCAGAGAGAAAAATGTCGGAAGAAAATATGCGGGTCTTCCTCGATGTTCTTCGTCGCGTTAAATCCAGTTTTCTCTGTTTAAATAATTATCTATTTTATCGATCGCTCGAGACGAATACTGTTGCGTCGAAGTGAACGCGTGTAACGAGTCTAGGAACATTGGAATAACAAAAATAAATGCGTTTCTCGTCGACGATACTTTTCAAGCTTTTTTTTTTTTTTTTTTGCATACAATTCTGACTCATGAACGATGACGTGAGGAAGAAATGCTCACCTGGGGAATAGCCCATGGAATGTTGGGCGTGGAGTGAGTCGATGGTCGGCACGGTGAGTCCGAGTCCGTTCATGGAGTAATGCGGCGGCTGGGACGCCGTCGTCTTGGTCAAGTGGTAGGCGAAATTGCCGGCGGCGGCGGCCGCGGCGGCCGCTGCTGCCGCCGACGACGTCGACCCCGGCACGGGTCCACTGAATCCAGCAAACGCCATTTCTGCGCGCTGACCGAACAGCAGACGGGCTCGGAAATTATTTATCTTTTAGGGCTATAGTCTCGAATCTGAGCTCCAAATCCCCACAGAAATCCGAAGAAAACACAATCCTTCAAGAAAATCCAGAAAAAAAAGATGAATCGCTTGAATAATTTGAAAATGTCCCAATTCTGTTCATTTCTCTCAAAGCATTTTCATCACGAAGCCTCAATTTTTTTTTGCCTTTTGAACCGGAATTCCCGAGAGTCTGAAACTGCTGGGATCACAACTTATCTCACGCGACGATTTCCAAACATTTAGCACTACGGTGCACCCAAAATTTCTCATTCTTCCAATTTCTCAAGTTGAAATTGAAAAAACCGGAAATTTATCTGAAAATGGAGAACTGTTGTCCTGCAGTCCTCAATCTTCACTTTGTTCGAAAACTTGTGGAGTTGTGTATTATGAAGTGAATGACTCCAGCAGGAAACCAGGAAAGCAGTAGATGATTTATCTTTC